TCTTTATATATTTTGATATTTTTGAAGCACAAGAATGGGGAATGAATGGTTGTTTGTTCAGAGAGAACAGATAAGGCATCTTGCAGTCCCACAGAACATGTCATTTTGAAATGAACACTAGTCTACCTATTGAATGGTCCAGGGTAGAGTGCAGGAGTTTGGCACAGGGCAGCAGGTTTTGGAGCTGGTGAGTTATGCTGTCTTGCTATGGAGAGTGTAGAAACAATTAACAATTGGTCCTTGGTGTATTGGAACACAAATATTTGGTCCAAAAATAAGTAATTTTCCCCCTTCAAAGAACATTTGAATTAAAATCCCATAAAAGAACAGTTTTTTCCTATTGTCAAGAACTTTTTAACCATTTAAAGAACCTTATGTGCAATGGAAAGGTTCCATGTTAAAGATTCCATTACTTAACATTAGTAAATGCATTAATTAACATTAAAGCAAACATACGCAAGTGTTTTACCTTGAAATATCAGTTTCAAAATCATTCTAGTGGTACACTGACTTCTAATAAGGCAAATGGCTTGCGTTTCTTTACCACGCTCCCCATTCTGGGACTGGGAAAATGTCAATTTGAAGAAGAGTTTGAATTCCGCGAAAATGGCGTATTGCTTTACGGCAGCAACAAAATACACATGTACAGTACAGCTATTCAGGACAGCGATATATTTACAACAGTGAATTCCACACACTTAACTGTAGGGGGCTTCAAAATCGAAAAATGCACAAAACTACATACAGATGCTTTAATAATAAGCAATACATTTGTTACAATATTTATTAATATAATGTTGGTTAATAAAAATACAACTCATTGTCCATTAAATAATATGTTGAACTTAACATTAATTAAGATTTAGAAGTATTTTCATTGTTAATTTGCGTTAACAAATGGAACCTTATTGTAAAGTCTTACAGCTGATTTTTCATGGAACCACAGATGTAAATAAAGAAACTTTTTTTTAAGTATGTGCAGTAGCTAAACACTACCTCACTGTCACTCAGCGAATCTTATTAGGTAAATGATAAATGACATCGGGACATGCAGTGTTTGTACAGCAGCAGTTAGTGTGCAAAAAAAAAAATTAAAAACACAAATTCATCTCCATCTGTGGCTATTCTGTCGTTATGTTTACCCTCATGTCATTCCAAACTTGCATCATTTTTTCTTCTATAAAACACAAATGGAGATGTTCTGAAGAATGTTCACGCTGCTCTTTTCCTTACAATATTATATATATATATTTTCTTTTTTTGCACACAAATAATGACCTCAGAATACAGCTCTTGCATCAAATTAATTAGGCTACTTTTGATGATCTGTCGCCATTCACTTTCATTTTATGGAAAAGAGTAGTGCAAATAGCAATTTTGTTTAACATCTTATTTTGTAATCCATGGCAGAAAATCAAATAAGTTTGGAACAACAGAGGTAAGACCAAACTTCCTTAAAAATCACCTCGGTCTGTCCACAAAACCTCATGTGTGTGTGCATTGGACTCTGTATATAGCCTAGCCTTTCTCCTCTGTGTAAGTGTTAACAAAAACAGGCGAAACACGTAAGACAGCAGTCGAGGCTAAATCCGACGTTTGTTCCAGACACAAGAGACAGGAGCGAGCACAAAGGGGTTCTTCATTTACCTGCCTGTCGTTAAGAAAAACGGACTGTGCCGAGTTATCGCACCGTTTGATCTGTGCGTTAAAAGATGAATTAGATGCTCTTTTATGTGTTTTATGAGTCTTTGTATTTATGTAAGAATATTCAGCAGTAGACAAAGGTGACTGATCCATTATTCATCCCTGTGCTAAGGCAGGTCTGGCAGTTTGAAAAGAGGCTGACATTTGAGCTTTTTCACCAACATCTGCAAAATTATATCCTTTCCATTGTAAGTCAATGAGGGGCAGTCAGTGCCCATAAAAGAATGAAATTTGGCCTGTCACTTTCATAAGGGTGAAAGTATACAACCTCATGCGGTATAAATGGAAAGGAGACAGAGCTTTTGTCTTTCATCCAGTGTTGTTCAGTCAAATGGGGTTTAAAACCTGATTTCGAGAATGCTTAAACAGTATTCTTGGTCAAGCAAGAATATAAAGTAGGCCATGCTACATAATCAACTTTTTAACCTGCGCTTGACATATTTAAACATGACTGGGAACAAATTTTGTTCTTAATCATTTAATACAAAAATTAAGCAACTAACTCACATGATAATGATTTCTGAAGGACCGTGTGACAAAATATACTTTAAAACAGTTATCAATTATTTTTGATCAAATAAATGCAGCTTTAGTGAGCAAAAGAGACTTCTTTAAAAACTATTACAAATCTATCTCACCAACCCTAAACTTTTGAACGACAGCACACCCAGCAAAGCCTTGTTTTCATGCACATAATATTACATATGTAATATCACATCTATCCTGACCGGTTTTAGGTTAGTTAAAAGCTAATTAATTACTAGCTACTATAATTAGGCTACATCTTCAACAGTGTAATTAGATTACTGTAAGAAAGTATTATTATTACTATTTTTTATCTACTTATTACTAATTCCTTTCTAAATCCCATATCAACCTCGACCATTTGATCAATAAGGATAGACATGAAACTGAAACTATTTTAATTTTCAAATAAATAATAGAAAATTGCATAAACTATTCTTGAACTGATCAAAGTATTTAAAGGGAGAAGATTACATTAAAACATGCATTTTAACATTAGACGTTACATTTTTATGTTAAACTATTGTTTTATATAGTACTGTTCTATACTCTATACAATATTAAATGCAATTACATCAAAGTAATTAAATTACAGCAATCAATTACTTAGAAATGCATTACACCCAACAACACTGATCCTGACTAAGGTTGTGACAAGCATAATTTCTTACATTACAGACTTGTGTGAATATAAATTGAAGTGAAGTATAAAGATACCATGTGTGTAAATCTTCTTTAGCACCATTAAGTCCATTCATGACTGTCTAACAGTCCATGTACAGTCAGTGTAGCTGGGAATATGATTTTGTTAACACAATTAAAACTTTTGAGACAGCACAGAGCAGCTCAATTAAGTGGCATTTAACATTTTCTGTCTCTCAGTACCGTTCTCTAGGCTTTGTCCTTATGTAAATGTGTCCTAAACGTCAGTCTTTCTCAAAATGTCAGTCGCCTCAGTTCTTACACAAAAGAACAACCTGCCTCCTTCTGCATGAGCCTCAGCCAGTGATTAAATCTCCCACAATGCCTTGCTGTCCCTGAGGATCGTGAGTCTTTGGAAGCGTTTGGTGCTAGTCATTGTTTGCCATAATAGGGCTGAGGTGGAGGTAGCGATGTTGGAAAACAGATGTGAGACACACACAGGAGGGTTTGCCACACCTGCACCGCAGCCCCGTGGGTTGAAATATTACTGTGCCAGTATCTCAAACAAAACAAACAATGCTAAACCTATGAGCAATCCAGTGACATTTTCATCATAATCCAGATATTCTTTTATACAACTCGAAGAAATAAAAGAAACAACATCAGGCCAGGAATTTAGATTGCCAATGAATATTGATTTCGGTTGGAGAGAGAGTACAGAAATACTGTATTTTGGTGTCATTGCTTGATATGGAAAGAAGGAGAAACATTTGAACATCCATCACATTACCAGTTTACACTAAACACAAAAACAGTCCAAAATCCACCTACTTCTCTTGAGTTTCAGCCTGCTTCCATCTGCATCTGTTGCCATCTCAGTCCTGGATTACACAGACAATGAGAACGAAACAATGGAGGAATTAACAGAAAGACGGTTTGGCTTGTGTCATGTCTGAACGGGGCAGTGTATATGGGGCTTGGGCCAGATTTTATACATGAACGGCTTAAGTTTGTCATGCTACTTTAGTGTGAAATACCAGTGGTATATCAATTGACTAGCAGCATGTTTAATCTTTTGGTTAAGATTTTCATTGGATTTCATTGAGACAGCAATGACTATTGAGGCCAAGTAGAAGCTATTAGACAGAAATGTGTCACACTGATATTATGTTGTATTGAGTGAACAAATCACAGATTTATTGAGAGTGTGTAATAGCAAAATGTTGTGTACTTTATCAGTGAATAAGACTTTAAAAGACTTTTAGGGTTGTTGTTTGTCTTATTGTAAATTAACATGTTCAACCCAATTCACATCCTCATTGTTTGTGTAAATTATATCATTTGATAATATACCCTACTGTTAAAAAGTTTTTTTAAAAGAAATTTATACTTTTTAGCGATGATGCATTAGTTTGATCAAAAGTGACAGTAAAGACATTTATGATGTTACAAAAGATTTCTACTTCAAATAAATGCTCTTCTTTCTATTCATAGAAGAATCCTGAAAAGTATCCGTTTCCAGAAAACTATTAAGCAACATAATAAATTACATTTAATTTCTTTTAATCATTTAAATAAAAAAGTTATTTTAAACTGCAGTAACATTTTACAATAATACTGCTTTGAATTATTTATTAGATATTTTTAGCTGGTAATACATTACGTATTGTTGATATTGTCATCATACAAGGACAGATCTGGCAACAGAAGAATTTAATGATGCAAAAGGAGGAATGAGACAAACAAATCCCATTCGAAGACTCACAGTAAGAATTTGTTTTTATTTAATTAAATCAGCAAGAAAGAGAGAGTAAGATAGAGAGAGTGCTTTGGGAAGAGAAAGTAGATGAGGTTATCTGGAAATTTCACAATACACAGTCATTTAGCAATAGACAATATTTCATTTAAATACATAAATTAGACAACATAGAAGACTCTTAATCTGTCGGTTTCTAACCACAGATTCAGTGTTAATTTAAAATCACTCTTGCATACATTTTTCTTAAAAAGGTTCTTTGAAATGCTGACAGAGCTAGAAATGCTGACAAAATTCTGGAAATCTCCTTTTTTCCAAAAAGGCACATTTCTGAGCATTAAATACAATACAGGATTATTTCTGTACATAACAAAAAAGGTATGTGAATGCACAATTAGAGTAGAGGATCATAATAAAATAAAAAAAAGGTACATGCTGCAAGGTGCAAAAGAGCAACCGGACGAAATTAAAACTGAGGTTATTGTAAAAGCAACTTTGAAATGACACCCCCAAAAAAATCTCTAAAAAAAAGACTAGTCCCCTCAGAAATGTCTCTAGTATTGTATTGCAAGGTTTTCCATTGGAAAAAATCCTACTGAATGTCATCCCTTATTGAACATATTGGCTAATGATTGAAAATGTCAAAGGACGCAGGCAGTGATGCAGGCCTGGCAACATTTGTAGGTACAGTGTGTCTATCATCCCTGAGACTCCCAGTTTTAGTCTAGGAACCAATGACATCTGTGACAGTGAGCTAAATGATCAAACTGCAAGTTATTTTGGCTGCTTTGCCAGACCACACCTGATCCTGTAGAGACGTTTCTGATAGATGATGTCCAGGTTCAATACATTTCTTTATGTTTATCATATCTGAAAATGAACTAGATACTTGGCACTGGCAAACAAAAAAGGCTTGAAAAGGATCAGGTTTATACTGTGACTGCGGGGATCAAGTTCAGTTTTGTCACAATATTTACAAGTATTTTTGGTCAGGAGTTAAGACTGATACTACACTCAAGATGCAGTTTTCATAAATGTACAGATGGGCTCACAAATTCGTCTCATCCCAGGATGGGTCGTTCATACTCTTTAACACTTTCCTGACAATCTTCTCCAGCTCTTTCCGTGCCTTTTGCTCTTCCTCAAGAGTGCGCTTCATTCTCTTGTTGTCCTGGTCATGCAAAATCAGAGAATCCGGGTCACAGCACCAGATATTGAATTTAAACAACATTGCAACACATTAAGTATAAGCAAACATTTACATGAGGCATGTAGACTAACCTGCTTAAGTTCTTGAACCTCATCCCTTAAGGCATAAACTGTATCCACCAGACTCCTGTAAAGGACATCCAGATGAAATCATCATGAACAACTACTGAGACTTCAGTTGGTCCAAGTTGACTTGCATAGTGTTTTTTTTCCTCCATACTATGGAAGTCAATGGGGACCAGCAACTGAAAGTGAACGTTTTTTTTCTTTCACAATATCATTATAAGATTAATCATGATATATAAATGCATAAACTGACAGCCCTAATAAAAAAAATTGTAAATAAATAGGTGAATTAGATGCAGAAATCTGAGATCTAACCTTTCTTCGATTACAGTTTGGCCATTGCTCTTTGTCTCTTCCACAATGATTTTCTCCTCTTCAGGAAAAATCATATGTGGCCCTGACTCCTTCCTTGATCCTGAAAAAAATTTAACCGTGTTAATGGATTAAAAGTAGAACAATAACATGTTGAACAACTCACTGACAGGTTATATAACTCATACCAGTATTATTTCAGTATAATTGAGATACTATTATAGTTTTTTATTAATATTTTTAATTAGTTTTTTTTTTCATATTAACTTCGGTTAAAATTTTAGTAATTTTGTTGTGTATTTTGGCATTTTTAGTACGTTTTGTCAATGTATTTTTATTTCAGTTTTAGTTAACTATAATAATCCTGAAATGTACAGAAACAGAATTTTAGGATGGTGTACTATTAAATGTGAATGTTTCTGTCCTATGAAAGCCATGGAGCAAAAGCACTGAAAACATCTTTCTTTCTCGTTCATGAACAACCATGTCTCCAATATGTTCACAACCTAACATGTTAACTTCAAAAATTATATGCTTGCCACTTTCAATGCAAACAAAATGTATATACGAGCAGCAGCTCTTACGGGACATAGAACCCATTCTGTTAGTGTGAGTTATCCATATACTGTCATAGTCCGAGTCTTCAGATTGATCAGAGGAGGGAAATCCGCTGCTACGGCAACCCACAGCATCCACACACGATTGGTCAACATCAGCCAGCACATGATTATGCATCAAATCAGTGCCCTGCCATGCTAATTAGGGATGGGGATCAAACCAATCATATTGGAGAGGACAGATGGGTTAAGAGGATGGACCAAACCAAGAGGAGTAAAGTGAGGGAGAGCCCAAGATGCCCGGAAAATTATATATATATATATAAAAATGACAGAATGAAATAAAAATATAACAATAGTGGGACAAATTAAGAGAGAGATGGGTGAAAAAGAAATGAATGGAAGGAAGGAAGAGGAAAAGAGACAAATATTCATGTTAAAAAGAGCAGAAAATATTAAGTGTGATCAACGCAGTGGTAAAGAGTTTAGTCAACATATATTTATATAGCCAATGCCATTAAAAGGCAGTAAAGATGTTGCAGTACTTCACAGACATATGTAAAAATGTTTGACAGAGACATCAGGACAGATTTTGTAGGACTCAAAATATGGGACTCATATTCCAAAAACACTACCCTTTTAAAGTTTAGGATCAGTAAGATTTTTAATGTTTTTGAAAGAAATCTCTTTTGTTCACCAAGGTTGCATTTATTTGATCAAATACAGTAAAAACAGTAATATTGTAGAATGAAATGAAGCTGAAATTTTATCAATTCAAATTTTTTATTTTTACTCCAGTCTTCCATGTCACATGATCCTTCAGAATTCATTCTAAAATGCTTATTTGCTGCTCATGAAACATTTCCTATTATTATCAATGTTGAAAACAGTTGTGCTGCTTAATAGTTTTGTGGAAACAGTGATACATTTTTTCAGGATTCACTGATTAATAGAAAAGAAAAATATATATATTTGTGACAATGTAAAAGCCTTTGCCTTTTCTTTCAAAGAAATCAAACTGCCTCGAAGCTTTCAAACTATGCAGTGTATTTTAGAAAGAACTTGGGGAAAAAATACATTTAAAATGCGTCAAAAATGCCAGTATTACGTGGGATCCACAGTTATATTGTCCTCACTCATTTACATGGACAAATCCCATCACAGAGTCTGGGACTGAAGTGAGATTTGAAAATTGCAAAGCAAATGAAAATCACAAGAAATTACATAAAGGTGTAGACTAGAGAGTACATACTTGAGTTTAGTGTTTGCCGTGTTTTAGCGCTTGTGCAGTATGCTTCGATCACTTTCAGGATCTGAGCATCCTCCTCCAGAGCTACAGTACCTGATGGAAAACAAGAAGAGCACATAAAAGATGCCAGGGGTAAGAAAACATTGCGAGAATATAATAAAGTCACTATGCTATCTTACAAACAGTAAACACGGAAGCAATACATGTGATGAGTTTGTAACAAATACATCACATGCATATGCAGAAAGTAACAGAGCATTAATAAACTTCAATAAATCATTAGGGTCATACTTTTTCTCACAGCAAATTCCTCATCAGATGGCTTCCTCTCAGATTTTCGTTTGGGCAGAAGCTTCTTCATGCTTTTGGGACTTTTACTGAGATCCTGAAGGACATAATAAAATTAGACAAATAACCAAATTGAGTCTCATAGATAAGTTTATTTAAAGGGGTCATATGATGCGATTTCAAGTTTTCCTTTCTCTTTGGAGTGTTACAAGCTCTTGGTGCATAAAGAAGATCTGTAAAGTTGCAAAGACTAAAGTCTCAAATACAAAGAGATATTCTTTATAAAAGTTAAGAGTCAACCACGCCTACCTAAAACGGCTCATTCTAACACGCCCCCACATGTCTACGTCACGATGTGGAAATATTAGCATAATGCCGCCCAAATGTGCATGTAAAGAAAGAAGGCGTGGTTTCAGGAACAGCAGTTAGTGTTGATGCAGCCATGTCAGGGAGACGCTGTGTTTCTTTATTTGGCCTTCCGGAAGTAGATGCAATTAGGAATGATTGGTTAAGATTTATTTACAACAGAACAGCACAACCCAGATGTTCGAATTTGTGCAACGCATTTTATGGATGACAGTTTTTTGAACCTAGAAGAGTACAAGGCTGTCTGTGCACAAAGGCTATTTCTAAAAAAAAAAAAAAAAGGGTCAATTCTGACTTTACTATGACAATCTGGCACTTCTGAATCAGCGACTGTAAGTATGTTTTGTTATTAGTTGAAGTATTTGCTATTGACTGTTCAAATGTGGAATTTTGCGCAGCGCAGGGTAACGCATTGTGTGTGTGAGTGTGTGTGAGGGGAACAGGGTCACATCACAGGAGAGTGAACAGCCTGTCAGAAATCATAGCACGTCAGCGGTCTTAACCGCGGCTTGTGTACTGCATCATCACTGTGTCTGTCACACGACTCAGTTGCTTTTTCGGGCTTGAACTGATGGTAAAACTAACGACATTATTAACTGTCTTGATATTTACTTTGAAAGCTGAAGCTCGTGATTATGGTAAGGGGCGTTACATTTCCGACGCGTGATTGTGGTGTTTGGCCAATCACAATGCACTGGGTCAGCTGGCCAATCAGAGCAGACTGCGCTTGTCAAAGGAGGGGGCTTTGTTGAAAACAACGTGTTTGAGAGAGGCGGGGCATAGAGGACCTACAATAATGTACAGTATTTGAAAAATAATGTGTTTTTTGAACATTAAAGCATATCAACATATTCTGTTACACCAAATACACAAAATAATGATCTTTAAAATAGCATCATATGACCCCTTTAATAAACAGATGTTAGTTAATAAATAATACGTTTTAACCATTGGTTTATAGTGATTCTTCTTCTAGAGATGCTATTAATGTGTCAACATACAGTTCAAATGTAACATGATACCTCTTTGAAACACAAGGCAGCTGAGGGTTTTAGGGGTGGCGCAGGTCGGAGACAGCTGAGACTCCAGGGCTTCTGGGTTTTGGGAGGCTCGAGGGGTCCCCACATCATACCGCTGTGAGGGGTTCCAAGTGAAGAGAGGTGAGGAAGAGTGTGGTAGACTGGAGATCCGCTCACACCTCGACTCTCTGAGTGTCTGGACGGGGTGAGAGGGTGAGACGGCAGCTGAACAGGAAGGAGACAAGCCGGTGAGTGACACTGAATATCGCTGAATATCAGTAATTCTTAACTTAGATATGTCACAGAGTCTGATAATTTTTTGAAAGATGTTAATACTTTTATGCAGCAAGGACACATTAAATTGATCAAAAGATTTTGATAAATATAAATGCTTTTCTCATGATTTCCACAGTACAACTGTTTTCAACATTGATAATAATAATAAGAAATGTTTCTTAATCACCAAATCAGCATATTAGAATGATTTCTGAAGCATTATGCGACACTGAAGACTGGAGTAATGATGCTGAAAATTCAGCTTTGCAATCACAGAATTTTAAAAACATATCCAAACACAAAACTTTGTTTTTTTATTTAATAATATTACTGTTTTACAGTAATAAATGCAGCCTTGTTGAGCATAAGGATTTTCTTTCAAATTGTACTGACTGCAAACTCTTGAATGGTAGTGTATGTGTTTCTCACCGTATGGCAGGGAACGTTCTGTGGTTTCAAGTTGCTGGTTGAAATGCGTTTGGTTTGCCGGTGTAGATGATCCATCCAGTCCTGAAGATCTTGCTGGTTATTACAGATCACCTGGATCCGCTCGATCATATTTCCTGCACACACACACACATCATTACTGCTCAAGCATATGTATTCTCAATATCTAGCAATAATAACATTTGACATGAGGGCAACTGGGTGGGAAACTCACCAGATATTTCAAAAGCATTTTTTGTGGTGTCACTGTCCTCTATTTTATTTAGAGTCATTCCAGTCAGAGGCAGCTTCCCCTGTGTAAGGCAATCAACCAATCAGCTGTCAGCATTTTAGGGCGTTATTAATACTGAGATCCATTCTGAGGTCATTCTAACAGAGTTATATAAAGTAATAATAGAATAATATGAAACAGTGTAATAATAGAATAATATGGAGTATGAAATTCAGCCCATTTTACTGCCCAATTTTCAAAACATGAAATAATAATAAAACATGTAAAATGTACCGTATGTAATCAGTGTGCAAGCAGCATCTACGTTTAACACAACTGTGCATTTTCAGTCATATTTGTATATCGTTGTCACCCTTTGCTTTGTGCATGATGGTGGGGGTGCTTTATGTACCATAACAGATTTCAGTAATTATACAAAAAAAACTACAAACTGAAGGTAATCATATGCTTACTATCCACATACTAGTTACATATATACATAATGATTGTTGGTGGGTTTTACTGCAACACACACAAAAAAAAGTAAAATATTAATACAATATTGGGAAAAACAGCAGTAAAGTAATTTTTACTACAAAAATCAGAAAAAGTATAGTGCAGTGAAACACTGATGGGACTGGAGATTGTATTTATACTACAGTGAAGTTTTACCTGGTAGATGAAACCACTCATTCGAGGACTAGCAGACAACATGAGAAGTACATGAGGAAACAGCAAAAGGTATCGCTCGTTCTTCTCCTGATGAAGCAGAATATTACAATGAAGATTTACATTGAATACAAAATCAGTCAATTAAAATCTAAGAAACAACATGTACAATAAAAATAACAAACGATAGCTCTTAAATAAAGTTTTTTTAACCAGGGGTCCATGGAGAACATACTAAATAGTTTGGTTCTTGAAATGTTACATTTCTAACTATAAATGAACGTAAATTTAGCTTTTATTTTTAAATACTGGAAGTCCCTGATGGTTGGTTAAGTGCTGAACACCCCTAGACTATTTGGTAACATTCACCTCTGCGCCGTGGTTCTGGATGAGGACTTGAGACATGTAAAGGACAGAGCCCAGGGTCTTAATGCCCTCCCCTTCCCAGCCCCGAATAGACTCCATCAGAATCTGCAGCTCAAGTTCCTTCCTCTTCCTCACTTCCTGACACTGGGCCTGAAGACACAACAACAAACGTTCACAAATAAGCCCAGCATCCCATTCTGAAAGATAGCGCAAGTCAAACAAACAGCTTATCATCATCATCTCACACATCTTTCATCCTTATATACTCGTGAAAACAAAGAAACTCAATGATGTTGACTTTATAATACTCACGGAGAGATTTTTAAATACTGTCATGCTCTTCTGAATGTCTGGATAATCTGGATGAAGCGCCTGAGCAGAACAAAGGAAGAATATGAGCGAGTTAAACTGGTATACTATATAAACACACAGATTTTGTTTCATTCCATAACCAGAATACTTACACTACCCTTAAATATTTGGTGCCAGTAAAAAATGTTTTAAAAGAAAATAATAATTTAATTCAGAAAGGATGCATTAAACTGCTTAAAAGTTACAGTAGAGACATTTATAATGTAATTATAACAAAACATTTCTATTTCTACTTTCTATTCATCAAAGAATTCTGAAAATATCATGGTTTCAACAAAACTATTAAGCAGCACAACTGTTTTGAACATTGATAATCATAAGAACCAAATCACCTTATTAGAATGATTTCTGAAGGATCATGTGACACTGAAAACTGGAGCAGTTTGTCATCACATGAATAAGTTACATTTTAAAATGTATTAAAATAGAATAGCCTTGGTGAGCATTAGAGAAAATCAAAATCATAAAATTTAAAAAAAATCGGGAAAACCCAGCCCTAAACGTTTGAATGGTAGTGTACATTTTGAAAAAGAGAGCGGTTGAGTACCTCCATGTGGCGCTCCATCTCTTTCAGTAGTGTGGGGTATTTCTCCAGTCTCAGGAAGGGTTTGCTCAGGCCCGTGGTGAGTGTGAGGATCCCTGGGCTGTTTGCACCTTTACTTTCCATAAACTCTCCTAATTCCTCACTGAAACATACACACAAACAAACAGACGCTGATAGACGGTGTTTCTGAAACTCAATTGTTAAGAATGAATGAAAAAGCATCTGCCCAAGATCAGGCGTCTATGCACTGTGCTTATTGCGTTGTTACGCACCTGTGTTGTGTGAGAACGTTAACCGCAGATGGATGGTTGGAGCAGTAGGTCACATACAGACTCCTCATCTGAGGAACGAGGGACAGGAAGAAGCCACCTATTCTCTGCTGACTCTCTGGAACTCTGCACACAACACACACCAATTCATTTAGAAATAATAAATGTTTAATAAAAATAAACACATAAATGAATGTTAAAGTTGAACAGAGCTAAAAATTGCACACATCTTAAAGGGGTCAATATGACGCGATTACAATTTTTCCTTTCTCTTTGGAGTGTTACAAGCTCTTGGTAAGTAAAGAAGATCTGTAAAGTTGCGAAGACTAAAGTCTCAAATCCAAAGAGCTATTCTTTATAAGAGTCAGCCACGCCTACCTAAAACAGCTTGTTCTAACACGCCCCCACATGTCTACGCCACGATGTGGGAAGATTTGCATAACGCCGCCCAAATGTTCACGCAAAGAAAGAGGGCGTAACTTTTATTCTCACTGTAGTATTGTTGTTGCCGCCCACCTCTGCTCACTCAAGCCGGCCTCCGCATACTCTAGGCCGTGGTGTGTGACGCTGTTTCGTTGTGAAAGCGAAACTACTTTGTTTGGTCTTCCAAAAGAGGACATGACTAGAAATCAGTGGTTAAGTTGTATTTACAACACTGTTCCAGAACAGTTCAACCCAGATATTCAGATGAGTGCAGCACATTTTATGGAGGACTGTTTCCTGATCCTGGTAGAGTAGACCACAATGCCGGCTGTTCTGACTCACAGACTGTAAGTACGTTTTTTTATATTTAAAGAATTTGCCACTGACGATTCAAACGCGAGTTTTTTGGGCAGTGTAGAGTAGTGTTTGTTGTTTGTCATTTCTCCGATCACAAATGCAGACATGGTTTTATGTTTACGCGGCGCGATGCAACGCAACGTGTAAAAAGACAGTATAAGTCATTATAATCAGTAATTATGTCCCCACTGGATGCAACACATGCCTCGTTTATAATGGATTTTAATGTTTTTGTCTCGTCGCTCCGGCCGGACAGAGCATCACAATAAGGTAGGGGCGTAACATTTCTGTCACACGCTTGAGGTATTCGGCCAATCACAACGCACTGGATAGCTAGCCAATCAGAGCACACCTCGCTTTTCAGACCAATGAGCTTTGTAAAAATCTACGCATTTCAGAAAGGCGGGGCATAGAGGAGAAACAATAATGTACAGTATGTGGAAAATAATGTGTTTTTTGAACCTTAAACTGCATAAACATTTCATTACACCAAATACACAAAATAATGTTCTTTTTAGCAACATCATATGACCCCTTTAGACTTCTAAGGTGTGTTCTACCAGTGTATTACTGGTAACTGCCACTAGATGTCAAACTGTGAACGAGTGAATGAAAGAACAGGATGGGGACTCTTACTTGACGCTTTCCTCCAGTGAATGCACCAGTGTCTGCTGAAATGAGCTGATCTCCTCTAGATTTCCCATGATGTGACTGATGTCTGACACGCTGAGCCTAGAAAGAGAGAGGGATGGCTACTGAACTACTATTATCTCTATGTTATGTTGGACTCTGGGCTTGTGTTCTTACCTGTCAGTGGGCTGTAATGCTCTCAGATACGTTGAGAGGAGAGTCTGCAGCTCTTTACAGTACTCTGTCTCGGTTTGTACAATATTCTGAACCACCTGTGCATATGACAAAAATGAACAACAGTTATGCATGCATGACAAATTAAAAGAACAAATTTTAAACATTATTATTATTAGTATTATTTTATTAGTATTAGTTTGCAACAGTGTAATGATATAACTGGACACACCAGACTGTGTTGTTCAAATGTCATGCATCTATAATATCATATCGATTCATAGTTAGCATATATGACATAGAACATCATTTGAAATGCCTAAAGGACCGAAAGTTAAAATCATCAGCATGCAAGGAAAAAAGGGGTAAGTACTCATGATTGGTCTCTTATCATCACAAATGCTCAACATTTAACAACCAGACAGTTATAGGTGGTACACAAATGGGAGAAGCACGTCGCTTTGGACCTGTTAGTTTTCCAAGTGCAAAAAGACTAGAATCTAGGGTCGATTTTAATATGTTCATTATCCTTGAGGACAAAACACTGCAGGCATACAGAGAAAGTGCGAGAAACGACAGAACTGGGCCAGTCCTGGCATGTCATGATAAACTCTGATTTCAGTCTAACTTAAGATTTAAAGACATCCCTGTTTGAACAAGGCTAGCTAACCTCTCTTAATACATCTTAGCAGCTAAAACCTCAAATGCAACAATAAATCTTCAATCTGTCCACAAATAGACAGCAGATGAACCTTGAGATGCAGCCATTACCTGGAAAAGTATTATAGCATCAATCAAACAATGACAATGAAACAAAGTTTCTACCCAAATGTTGTCAGGTGGATAACCTGTGGAATTTATCCAAAAATTTGTAGAGATTTCTGCTGGAAGTTTAGAAATGCTATTTTTTTTCTCTGCTGGCCTTGTCCATTAAATATATAAAATATTATAATTTTTAATTGTTGAAATCTATTTTTTTATATATATATTTACATTTTATACAAACAAATATGGAGTTGAGAGGCCACTGGAAAATATATTTAAAAAGCTCAAAATAAAGTTTGTTTTGTTCTGGTCAATTAAATAAAATTAATTTAGAATTTTCTTTGTAGAAATGTATTTTTATAAATTTACATTTTTTACATAAATATTAATTTTAGAAAACATAAAATAAGTCAATACCAATATTCACTCATCCATTTACAGAATTATAAAATTCTGCAGAGCTTTCTGAAGAGATCTGCTTCCACATATTTAATGTGGCTTTGAAGACAGATCTATATCTAAATATACAAGAAATATGTTTTATGGATACAAGAACGGCCGCATTATAACAGTCCAAACTTGAAAACGCCAACTTTTTTCCCTCCAGAGTTAGCCAGGACCGAGAAAACCGACAGTTTGTCTGTAAACAAATGTATGCAAGCACCCCTGACATGAACAATACCATTGGACGTCTGGACAGCCTGATCGTTACAGCCCTTTCAAACTGTGTCCTTAACTTGAATGGGTCTCCTCCCCTAAAGCTGCTGTAAAAGACTGAACCCTGCCTGACCTCAAACTAGCGTCCTCCTTAAAACACACACACACACACGCTCTTCATCTTCAGCCGGTCTTCAGAGGAGTATAGGGTCAGTTACTGCAGATTCTCATCAAACATGACACATAACCAACACAGACACAGACAGCGCAGGGCCCCAGGCACAGCTGTCCCCCGAGTCAATGAGATGGAAAAGATGACCCATATTATAGCATGACTGAAAGACAAACACATGCACTGAACTGATAACCAAATACAGACATTCATAACAACACATTTACATAAAAATATGCAAATAGAGGCCCAGACACACACATTCTCTGTTAACACCTCTAAAAATACACATAGAAGCATATTCACACACACAAATGTTTGTTTTTCTATCATGGTGGGGACTTTATTGACTTCTACTGTTTTTATACTGAGCCAAAGATATAATGATTTCTATCTCCTGCACCTAAAGCCATCCTTCACAGACTTTTCTGCATTTTCATTAAGATTGTTTGTTTACCAAGCTGTTTTCCTCGCGCACAATGTAGGTGACTTCAATTTTAATATCCTTGTGGGGACATTTGATCCACACAATGTAGGCAAAACCCGACCTACGCATACACATTAACAGCTCATTGGGTTTGCAGAGGCTCTCAGATGGAGGCTTCTGGGAAACGTCGCATGAGGAAACGAAGCACAATAAAGGAAATTCACATACACAGAGATATACAAAATCATCTGAAAATGACTTTTATTAACAAAATTGTTATTGTCTGGATGTTGAACGTGTGTGTTACTGACATTAAATCAAACAAAAACCAGGAGCAGCATTTGCTGGTGGGTGTTTAAACTTGGATTATCAACTCTTAAGTAAATCTAGTTTGGCGAGGCTTTTAAACCCAGATTAAAGCCTTATGACTGTAAATTCGCAAGGATTAGTCCAAAGCTAAAATCTGAGAAAACCGGAAACAGCACTGTGTGAATATCCTTGCAATGCACAAGGTTTTAACCTTGATGTTACTCAAAAAAGAAAATGAGTGGCATTGCATTATCTTTAGCTGTGTGAACTGGTTCATGGATGCATCTGGTCCACATACATTATCGTTCAAAAGTTTGGAGTCTGTAAGATTTTTGAAAATTTTTTATGCATTTTAAAGTTGATTGCATTTAATTGATCAAAAAACAGAAAAAAACAGTAATAATGTTTGAAACAATTGTGCTTTTTAATATTTTTGTGGAAACCATGATACATTTTTGTCATGATTCTTCAATTAATATAGAGTTCAATATAACAGCATTTAACAACAAAAACTTATATAATATTGCAAATGTTTTTACTGTCACTTTTGATTAATTTAGTGCATCCTTGCTGAATAAAAGTATTAATTTCTCTTCTTTTAAAAAAATCTTACAGCCCTACACTTCTGAATGGTAGTGTATATATTGACTTTGTATTAGGCATATTGATGTTTGTCAATTAGGATATAAAGAGAAGGATTTACATTTTGTATTCACGCAAGTTGAATGTGCTCTTCATAGTGAAGTCTAAAATCACAAAAATCTGCAGTGTTTCATAACCCTCTAAAATGATTCATAATGCTGCTATCACAATCACTCCTAATATCTTAAACCTTAGTCTTATCTGTCAAGTACAGGCAAGGTTGGTGGTGTGTGCTTGCTTATTTGGTTAGGGAAATATCAGTGCAATACAAACTCCCCAGAGGCACCGCTTCCACCCCACACGCATCAGAAATAATCAACGCGCTCCATGTGGAAGGTGTTACGTGGCACTAACGCAACACTCCAGCACATCTCTCTTACCACATTATAGTACATCTTGCAGTAGTTAGTGGTCTCAAAGCCTTTGGGTGGACTCTTCAGCGTTCCAGACTTAGGTGACACAGGTTTGTCTGTAGGAGAGAGCAAAAACAGAACAAAAGGTAAGGAGGTCACCTTAGACCAACATCTGGAAACATTTTGTTTCTGTTATTGAATATTGAAGTACATCTCTCCTGCAGTGAGCAGTCAGGACATCAATATTAGATTTAGATACCTGGAGGGGGAGATCTGAGTTTACAGGAAAACATTATACTTCTTCAGCAAGACGACGGTTTGAACATTTCACTTAGTTCAATCCATTATGGTTCATTTACACTAATATCAGCAACGTAATGTGTGAACTTCCTGGAATCATCAAAATGGAACATTTCTCATGCTTTTCCACAAGAAAACATTCAGTTCATTGATAAAATCCATTTTTCTCCACTTGGCAAATGTGTGATTTCCCTAAGTTCTCAACAAAAGAGCTCAACATTTCCACAAACCAAACCATTCATTAGCGGTGCTTACGGAGCTAAACATCATATTTACTATTGCACATACGTAGGATTAATGATTTGAACAAATCTAGTTTTAAGAGGAATAATTCACCCAAAAATGACAGTTGTGTCATCATATATTCATTCTCATGTTAATCCAAAACTGTATCACTTTCAAAAGGAGGAAGAAACTCTCCTTTTGCGTACAACTGAAGTAAGTCACAGGATTTTTAGATGAACTACCCCTTTAATCATGTAATCTGAGCTCAAAGAAAACAGTGCATTGCAAACCCTACACTCTTCCCCTTTTCCTAACTGCAGTCATTTTTGAGATGACGTATGAAATCAATATACTATTAATGTCTACTACAAGTAATGTTGGGCATGCATTTAACACAAGTAAATCCTATAAAAGAGTCTGGATCGTTAAGTGCTCAGAGAGTGGAATAAACTTGAGTGTGGAGCCATATTCAGAGGAAAGGGGAAGCGCTGTCATCTGGCTGCTGCACTTCCTGTCTTTGTTGTTGGATGGTGTTTCCTTCCTGTTAAGCCCTGGATGTTCAAGCTCTGATGTCACCTTAAATGATTTCCATTCAAAGCTGGGTCGAATACACATTAGGGTAATTTCCCCAAACATGAGAGGGAAGCATCTGTTTGGCATCATGGGGTGTACATGATATTTATGTTTGGACTGCAGAACAAGGGTCAGTGGTTGTGTTTATACTACAGCGTGCATACAGTGAGATAAGGCTACGAAAAGCTGGTTATTTAAAATACACACTACCGTTTAAAAGTTTAGGTTCAGTAAGATTTTTTTTTTAAAGAAATTAATACTTTTATTCAGTAAGGACACATTAAATTGGTCAGAACTGACAGGTAGAATGTTACAAAAAGATAAATGCTGTTCTTCATTCTTTCTATTTATCAAAGAATCCTAAAAAATGTATTATGGTTTACACAAAAATATTAAGCATCACAACTGTTTTCAACATTGATAAAAATAAGAAATGTTTCTTGAGCACCAAATCAGCATACTAGGATCATGTGACACTGAAAACTGGAGTAAGGATGCTGAAAATTCAGCTTGGCATCACAGGAATAAATTATACCTTAAAATATATTCAAATAGAATACAGTACAACTCATTTTTCATTGTAATAATATTGCCAATATTACTGTTTTTACTGTATTTTGGGTCAAATGTATGCCTTGGTGAGCATAAGAGACTTCTTTAAAAGACATTTTTAAAGTCTGTTTACCTTTCTTTCTTTTTTTTTTGGTGGGATGAAAATGTTTAAAGGGGAAGTTAAAATCTTAAGTACTAGATCAGCAGATTTTATTAAAGAACTAAAGGAACAGAAGGTTTTGTCATTACAAACAGTGCCTTCAGATAAAGTGTCCAACCATTTACTCTTTTAATTCTTAGTTTGCTACCTTGTATGCAGCACCTGGTCCTGTACTCAAGCTGGGTTGAACGAGCGCACATTTTTCCACTGTAAGCCTGTAATGGTCATATAATCCCAAAGTTTTTGGCTTTTGCAGAGAGCTGCCATTCAGTTCTCTTTTCATTAAGCCTGTAAGTCTTCTTTTAATCGGACCCGGGCAGATTTTACATTTCCATGGTGCCACAGTGCCTCGTACATACAAGTACAAATATACTTTTAATATATATATATATATATA